GCTCGCTGAAAAATAGCGCGTGCCTAATTAAAGGGAGCCTTCGCACCTGTCTGTTGGGAGCCTCTTGGGGCATCGTGAGCGCGCCTCGGGGGCTTGTGGGGGGATATGGGGCGGAGGGCTCTAGTGTCAGTTCGTGTCATCTATCTTGGATTTTTCTTGGCGTTATCCGCGGGGCTTCTCGGACGATTCTTGGGGGCTCTCGGGCCGTTTTGCGGTGATCTTGGCGGCCTCTTGGAACCCTGAAGATTGAAAAAGGCGGCATTGCGAAAACAGTTCGGTAATCAATGGATTCTGGCGTTTTGGGCCACTTGGGCCGCCCTCCAGGGCCTTCAAGACGGCCCAAGAGGCGTCTAAGAAAGCTCAATGACGGTCCCCGGGGCCATGTGAAACCACGTTGGACATGCGCGCCCCCAACAACGCGCCCCTCGAAAAGTCACGCAGGGACCCCCTAATCGGCGGCGAGCGACGGGGGGGGCGACAAGGCGACGGAGCTTCTCAGAGGCCGCCGCGCCTTCTGAGAAGTGTTTTTTTTGCCTTCGGGGAAAAGTTGGAACAACTTCTCAGAAGGCCGGGGGCTTCTGCACCTGCTCCTCCTCCTCCTCCTCCTCGTCCTCCTCTTCTTCTTCCTCTTCCTCCTCCTCTTCCTGAAAAAGGCCTTTTCCTTCTCGCCCCCCCCCCGTTGCCCGCCGCCCGCCCAGGAGGGCCCCCCGCAGGAGGGCGCGAGAGCGCCCCGGGGCCGCCCCGGAGCGCGCCCGAAAGCGCCCGGAGCTCTGGGCCGTGGGCCCTTTGAGAGCGGTGGTTGGGGGGGGGCTGAGATCGCAGTGGCCCCCCACCTGGATTTTTGATTATCCTCTCTGCGATCCCGTTTTTTTTTTTTTTTTTTTTTTTTTTTTTTTTTTTTGTTTTTTTGGTGGTGTTTTTTTTTGTTGTTATTTTGTTTTTTGTTGTGTTGTGTTGTTTTGTTTGTTTTCCACTTTGTTGGTTTTGTTGTTTGATTTCTTTCCTTTTTTTCTCCTTGTCACAGCGTGGGTCTTCGTTCGCAATGCTGGGCCCCGAGGCCCTCCCAGACATCGATCTCCGGTTCGAGACATGACGCAAAGACATGCGGATTCGGGCTCCGTGCGGGATTTTTTTTCGGTGCTGCGGTGTTTTTGCACCGTCGGATTTCAGGGTCGATTTCGTGTTCGTGCTGTTCTAGGCCTCCTGGGCGGGGTCGGAGTCGATGGGGTCGGAGGATCGCGCCGCATCGTCGATGCATCGACGATGCGGCTCGACGTGCAGCCCGAATTTCCCCATGCCGACGTCGCGGATGCGTCGCCGACGTCGCCGGTGCATGGCCGACGCATCGCCGAGGCATCGGCAATGAATTGGCGATGCGGCTCGATCCTTCGACCCCGCCCACTCGAACCCCACTTATCAGGAGGGAAAGAAACACACAGACACAATTCATCCTCGATTCCCAGGAAAATATGGGAAAATATGGGAAGTGGGGGGGAAGACAAAAACCCAGAAAATATAGGAAAATATGGGGAATACTTTTATTTGTGTGTATTTATTTGTGTGTCCTAGTTTCCCTTTATCTTAGGAGGCCTCGAGCTGTGCGTGCGGGCGAGGCGAAGCTGAGCAGCGCGGGCGCGCGGGAGCAGCGGCCCCGCCGCCTCCGGGTGTGCGCGGGTGCCGCGGGCCGCCCCCTCCGCCCTCCCGGGGCGGCGCGCGGGGGGGCCCCGGGGTTTCCCGCGGGGGCGTCCCGCCGTGGTGTCCCGTGGTGTCCCGTCGGTCCCAGACCCCCTCGGGTAATGAACGAATCATCACGGGAGGTTTTCGCTAATTTTGGCCTCGGGGGGCCCTCGCCGGGCTTCGGGACCGTCGAAAAACGGGTCAGGATGAAAAACCGGTCCAGGGGAATGTTTCGAGATCTCCAGGGGGCCTGTGGCGGGGCGTGCCCTGCATTGGTGTCGAGAGTGGAAGCGACAGTGGAGATAGAGAGTGAGATCGCTCGAGTGTCGGGCCGAAGGAAAGGGGGGAGAGAGGGGAACGGGAGGTTACGGAATCTGCTGCGTGCAGCTGGTTTCGGCCCCGCCGCCGGGCCCATTCGTCGATACATGCGGCCCGGATTAGTAGGTCGACCCTGCCAGATCAAGGGTACCTTCGTGTCCTGTGCTTTGCGACCCACGTCTCCTGCACTCCTGTGGCAATGTGGCCCTCGAAAGGGTCTTGTGTCCTCTCGCGTGTCCTCTCCAAACAAGCCCGACTGTACATGGGCGCCTCCTGGCGCCGGGAGGCGCTGGGAAAATCAAATACGTGAGCTGATTATTTACCCCACCCTTTGCTATCCCCCTGTTCGTTCCTCCCGAGAATGGGATGGATCGTGTGATCAAACATGAGATCGACAGTGAGGTTGATTGTGACAGTGGTTGTGCTCGCGCTGTCGGATGCGCAGGGAGGCGGCGTCCCCTGGGTCGTGCAGGTCTTGCGGGGACAGGCGATCTCCCCTGGCGCGAGCACGATGGGATCGATCGCTGAATTCATTGATACTAAAAGACTGGCCGTGACTTCGATAGTGCGACCGATCGAGTGAGATCGAAAGTGGGAGCGACAGTGACATTACATCACAGCGCAACGTTGTCATCACGCGTCGTCGCTAACTTGAGGGCGCGTCACCAGCTTCGTCATCACACACAAACGCATCCCATTTGCCAGCAGTTGGTTCTTTCTCCGATCCCCAACCTCCGTATCGTTCAACTCAATACAGAAAGCTCCAAGCTGTTTCAGGGGATGGTGGCGGATTGCATACTGGCAATTGAATTACACATGTATTGCTCAACATCTTGGTGTTACATCGTATTGCACATTTTACGCTGCACGCGAACATTGAGCAATACATCTGATCCCCAAGACGTAGTGCACGCCCTAATTGCAGGCCCCCAGTTGCATTGCAGTGCAGTGCGCTGCAGCTGGCGGGTTGCATTGCAGTGCTGTGCAGGCCGATTGCGGGGCGACCGACCATGATCCCGCCTCATCGCCCAGAAGGCCGGCGAGCAGGGTTAGGCGGGGTGCCCAAGCGCGGCTTCCAATTCCGAGGGGTACTGTTCCCCCTCGCAGCACGTTGGCGGGCCTCGGCACCTGGAACTCGCACCGGGCTTGCATCCCCTGGCAGCGAGTGCTTGGGGTGCGACTCACTCCTCCTCCTCCTCCTCCTCCTCCTCCTCGTCCTCCTCGTCCTACTGGAAAAGCTCACCATGGGAACGAGCCGCTGTAGGGACCCAGGGCCGCTCCCCAGACGTCACCCTCCTTTCGCGGGGCCCCCCTTCGGGTCGCCTCCTCTGCTTTCGCCCCCCCGCTTCGTCATCAGGCTTGGCAAGCAATGGTGCTGCGCACGAAACGCGAGAGGGCACATGGTCTGTGCCACGCGGTGACGCATCGCGTAACCGACGGCGCCGTGGCCGAAGCAGCCGTGTCGTGCCGCGGCGCTGAGGAGGGCCTCCATACCTCCGGCTGCTCCGCAGGCGTGCCACCAGGCTCCGTCGGAGGTCGAGCACTGCCCCGCTGGGGGGGGCCCTCGCTGGCGCCGCGTAGCGAAGGCGCCGGATCCGTCCCGGGAGGTGCAGTCCGCACGAGGCCTGTTCGAGGCTGGTGCACCTCGGCCCCCCCTCCTCTCCTCCCCCTCCTCCTCCTCCTCCTCCTCCTCCTCCTCCTCCTCCTCGTCCCCCTTCGTCCTGCTCCCCCTCCTCCTCCTGCTCCTCCTCGTCCTCCTCGTCGTCGTCCTCCTCCTCCTCCTCCTCTCCTCCTCCTCCTCCTCCTCTCCTCCTCCTCCTCCTCCTCCTCCTCTCCTCCTCCTCCTCCTCCTCCTCCTCCTCCTCCTCCCCCTCCTACCTGCCAGGGGCAGAGGAGCTCGCGCCCCGTGCGGCCGCGGCAGTTGGCCCCCTCTTTCCCCGTCCCCTCCCCCCTCCCCTCGCGCGACCCCAGTCGCCTCGGGAAGCGTCTTCGAAGTGTCTCCTCCTCCCCCTCCCGAACGTGGTGCCCTCTCCCTCCTCCTGCTGCTCGGAATGTTCGCTTTGCTAGGGCCATCCTTCCCCCCAGTCCTCCTCGTGTAGCCACGGCAGCGGGGTGAGTCAGAGCAGTGACTTCCTCCGCTGTGGACTTGCTGCGTCCCTCGCCACCGATCAGACATGTTGCGCCACAGCGTGAACGCATGATTATCTTGCTTGACTGTTCCCTTCTGCGGTTCACCAGCGCGAGGACAGGTGGTTCTCACGCTGGCGGGCCAGGCTGCGGTGCAGAGTCGTTAGCCCCTCGTCCACTCTCGAATGCCAGGGGGCACTCCATGTCGGGCAACCACTGCCCCAATTAGGATGCGAAGGCCAAGGCACTGAGACCCATTGCTCCCCCCCCCTCCCCGCGTTCCATCCCTCCCTCCATCCTTCCATCCCTCCATCCCTCCATCCCTCCATCCATTCCCCACCCCATCCTCCTGCCCCCATGCCTCCTCCCACCTCCTACCTCCAGCCTCTCTCCTCCCTCCTCCCCCCCGGTCCTTCCTTGTCTCTCCGCCCTCATCGCGCCTCCCTCATCCCGCCTCCCTCCACCCCCCTCAACCCTCCCTTTGGCCTCCCTCCCTCCTCTATCTCCCCTGCTCCCGTTTCTCCCTCGTCTCTCCTCCTTCCTTTCTCCAGTTGTCTTCCTCCCTCCTCCCTCTCTCTTCTCCCCTTTTCCTTTTCTTGCTCCTCCCTCCTCCCATGCCGATCCTGCTGTTATCCCTCCCCCCTCGCGTCATCCTCGTCTTCGAGGTGGTGGTGGTGGTGGTGGTGGTGGTGGTGGTGGTGGTCTCCCTGCTCACTCCTCATCTACCTCGTCCCTCTCCTCCTCGCCCGAGACAGAGGTACCCAGAGGCATCCAGATGCTTATGGATGCCCATAAGTGTCCGACGACGTCCTCCCCATCGCGCATCCCACTCCGCAGCCCCCCTTTCCCCTCCCCCTCCCCCTGCCCTCCTGAGCGAGGTCCTGGCCGTGGTGGAGAGGCACTTCCAGACGATAGAGCGCGTGTGCGTGCACCATACGCAGTACGAGGAGCCCTGCTCCTCACCCGCGGGCAGCTGGGTTGTCGGTGGTGGCGGAGGTGACACGAGGCGGGCCCTTCCCTGGAGACGGCAGTGGGGATGATGATCATGCTGCTGCTGACGAGGAGGAGGATGAGGACGAGGATGCTAATGATGATGCTGATGATGATGACGATGATGCTGGATGCTGATGGCGATGATGCTGATGACGATGCTTATGCTCATGATGATGGTGATGCCGATGCTGCTGATAACGCTGATGATGCTGATGATGATGATGAGTTACGATGATGTTGCTGATGATTCTGACGAGGATGCTGCTGATGATGCCGATGCCGATGCCGATGACTATGACTATGACGACGACAATGACGAAGCTGATGATGATGCTGATGATGATGCTGATGATGATGATGATGCTGGTGGTGATGGCGATGGTGATGGTGATGCTGATTCTTCAGGCTTACGCCACATCCGCCGACCCCTTATGAAGAATCGCGCAGTGGTCTGGTCGCCTCTTTGGGTGGTCTGAGGCCCCTGGGCCATTCTTGGGGCATTCTTGGGTTGTCTTGGGGCCCCTTAGGCCGTCCTGTGGCAGTATTGGGCTGTCTTGGGGCTCTCTTGGGCTGTCATCGGCCTCTCTTGGGCTGTCATGGGGCGCTCTGGGCGTTCTTTTCGGCCGTCTTGGCCGTCGCCATCTGTTGCCGAGGACTGTGGTATGCCCTTGGTGACCTCAGAACTGCTTTGCGGTGTCTTTTGGAACCGTCAGGGGCGGCCGTGGGGTGACCTTCGATCGTTTCAGGCCATGGTCAGAGACCCGCCGAAACGCCCTGCGGAAGCAAGTGACGATCACGGCGGGAAGCGACGCACGTTTCGAGGAATCTGACCGCGAGTCGCGCGCGTTGTCTTCGGGGCTCTCTTGGGCCGTCCTCTGCCCCTCTTGAGACCCGTCTTGGCGCCCTCTTGGGCTGTCGCGGGGCCCTCGTGGAGGCTTCTTGGACCGTCTTGGTGCGGTCTTGGGGGGCTCTGGGGCCGCCCAGGAGCGGGGAACACCCCAAAATGCGCATGTGCGAGAAATCTATACGTTTTACGAAGGGAACGTGCGTTTTTGTGCGTCTAGAGGCCCTCTTGTGGCGCATCGTGGATGCCTCTTGGGGCGTCTTGAGGGCCTCTGTAGCCGTCTGGAGGTCGTCGTCAGTGCTGTTGATCGCTCTTGGACCGTCGGGGACCATGTGGAGCTCTCTTCGAGGCCACTCGGGGCGCTCCTGGAGCGCTGTCGGGGCCGTTTTCGGAGCCCTTTTGGGCCGTCTTGGACGTCTGTTGGCCCGTCTTGGGGCCCTCTAGGGCTATATGGGGAACCCTTTGGGGGGCTCTGGGACCGTCCAAGAGCGGGGGGCACCCCGAACGGCGCACGTGTGAGAAAAAATCTACGTTTTACAAAGGGAACGGGCGGTTTTTTGCGTCTAGAGGCCCTCTGTGGGCGCATTGTGGATGCCTCTTGGGCCGTCTTGGGGGCCTCTTCAGCCGTTTGGTGGCCGTCGTCGATGTTTGTGATCGCCCTTGGACGGTCGAGGACCATGTGGAGCTCTCTCCGAGGCCACTCGGACCGCTCCTGGAGCGCTCTCGGAGCCGTTTTCGGAGCCCTTCTGGGCCGTCTTGGACGTGTGTTTGCGCGTCTTGGGGCCCTCGAGGGCTATGTACGGACCCTCTTGGAGGCGTCTTGGACCGTCTGGGAGCGGGTTTGGGGGGCTCTGGGGCCGTGCAGGAGCGGGGGTCATCCTCAAAGGCGCACGTGTGAAACAATATACGTTTTACGAAGGAAACAAACGATTTTTTGCGTCTAGAGGGCCTCTTGGGGGGAATCTTGGATGCCTGTGGGGGCGTCTGGGGAGGCCTCGTGAGCCGTCGGGAGGTCGTCGTCGATGTTTCTGATCGCTCTTGGACCGTCTGGGACCATGTGGAGCTTCGGGGAAGCAACTCGGAGCGCTCCTGGAACGCTCTTGGGGCCGTTTTCGGAGCCCTCTTGGGCCGTCTTGGACGCCTGTTGGCCCATCTTGGGCCCTCTAGGGGTCTGTGGGGGACCCTCTGCGAGGCTTCTGGGGCCGTCTGGGAGCGGGTTTGGGAGCCTCTTGGGCCGTCGGGGAGCATCGGGAAGATCCAAAGCTGAATTTTTTTAAATGTGCATTTCACAATGGGAATGGCCCAATTTTGGCGTCTAGGGACCCTTGTGGAACGCATCTCGGAGGCCCTCGGGGGAGCTCGTGGGGACCTCTTCTGCCGTCGAGGACGCCTCGTGGCCCGTCTTCGGGCAACTTGGACGTCTTGGAGCGCTCGTGGGGCGTCCCAAATCCATTTCAAAGCCACCAGACGCGTCCCTACACGAATTTCACGTGTTTTTCCACGTTTTTCGTCACCCCCAAAAGCGCACGTGTGAAAACATATACGTTTTACGAAGGAAACAAACGATTTTTTGCGTCTAGAGGGCCTCTTGGGGGGAATCTTGGATGCCTGTGGGGGCGTCTGGGGAGGCCTCGTGAGCCGTCGGGAGGTCGTCGTCGATGTTTCTGATCGCTCTTGGACCGTCTGGGACCATGTGGAGCTTCGGGGAAGCAACTCGGAACGCTCCTGGAACGCTCTTGGGGCCGTTTTCGGAGCCCTCTTGGGCCGTCTTGGACGCCTGTTGGCCCATCTTGGGCCCTCTAGGGGTCTGTGGGGGACCCTCTGCGAGGCTTCTGGGGCCGTCTGGGAGCGGGTTTGGGAGCCTCTTGGGCCGTCGGGATTGGGAGCATCTTTGGGAGCCTCTTTGGGGCCTCTTGGGCCTCTTTGGGAGCATCGGAAAGATCCAAAGCTGAATTTTTTTAAATGTGCATTTCACAATGGGAATGGCCCAACTTTGGCGTCTAGGGACCCTTGTGGAACGCATCTCGGAGGCCCTCGGGGGAGCTCGTGGGGACCTCTTTTGCCGTCGAGGACGCCTCGTGGCCCGTCTTCGGGCAAACTTGGACGTCTTGGAGCGCTCGTGGGGCGTCCCAAACCCATTTCGAGGCCACCAGACGCGTCCCTACACCAATTTCACGTGTTTTTCCACGTTTTTCGGGAGCGGATGAGACCTCCGGGGGGGTCCGGCCCGTCCGGCCGGTCCGGCCAGACCCCCCCCTCCCCCCCCTCCAAATGGACCGGACCGGGCTCCCGGGGGAGGGGTTTGGGGAGGGGGAACATCTCACACGCCGATGAACCCCAAGGGGTCGGCGGATTTGATGGTGATGCTGATGGTGACGGTGGCCGCCGTGGTGATGGTGGTTAACATGACGATGCGATGATATTGATGATGTTGATGATGATGCTGATGCTGCTGCTGCTGATGATGCTGATGCTGCTGCTGATGATGCTGATGCTGCTGCGAATGATGATGATGCTGATGATGATGCTGCTGATGATGATGCTGCTGATGATGATGCTGCTGCTGATGATGATGATGATGAGCTGCAGATGCGGATGATGTCGATTACGTGGATGACGGCGACGACCACGCTGACGACGTGATGATGATGTTGTTGCTGATGTTGCTGATTATCCTGATGACGCTGATGCTGCTGATGACGATGCTGTTGATGTGGATGATGAAGATACTGATGACGATGATGATGGTTGTGGTGGTTATCATGCTGATCATTGTGTGATGATGCTGATGATGACGACGATGATGATGATGATGATGATGATGATGATGATGATGATGATGATGATGATGATGATGATGATGATGATGATGCTGCTGATACTGATGATGCTCATGAGGATGATGCGTATGATGACGACGACGACGATGGTGATGCTGACGATACTGCTGATCATGATGAGGTTGTTCACGATCTTAATGTTTGAGGTGATGGTAGTCATGATGGCGATTTTGATCGTGAGGAGGAGTTGGAGAAGCAGAAGGAGGAGGACGGAGGATGGGATATTGAGGTGGTGAGGATCCGCTCCGGCGAACACTGGCACTCCCGCGTGTGCTCCCGCCGTGATTCCCTTTTCCCTTCTTCCCCTCCCTCCTGGCCCTCCACTTCTCATCCCTCTTTCCCTCCCTCTGCCTTTCCACTGCTCCCACTCGCCCCCCTCCCCTCTCTCGCTGCGCGCTGCCTTCTGCATGAGCTGCTCACCCTTTTGCGGCTGCGTGCTGTCGAATTCTGTCGGTGGACCTTCTCGAATCATGCCCTGACCAGCATGCTTGCCTGCCTCCTCCTCCTCCTCCTTCTTCTCTGGCAAGCGCCAGCTCGGCCCTGACCGAGGGTCCCCGAGCCCGCGCCACGGGCGCCCCTCGCGCCGCCCCACCCCCGCCCCCGCCGCGGCCGCCCTCGGGTCCCCCCACCCCCGTGCGGCATGGACCTCGCCTTGGTTCGGCGGCCCCGGCGGCCCAGCCGGTCCCAGCCGGTCGGCGGCGGAGCGCCGCGCGCAGCAGGCGCGGGCGCAGGGTCGCGCCGCCTCCTGTCAGGAGGGAAAAAAACACACAGACACAATTAATCGTCGATCCCCAGGAAAATATGGGAAAATATGGGAAGTGGGGGGGAAGACAGAAACCCAGAAAATATAGGAAAATATGGGGAATCCTTTTATTTGTGTCTATTTATTTGTGTGTCCTTGGGCCCCTTCACGCCTCCTGGCCGCTTTCGAGGAGGTGCGTGGCCACCGTGGGCAGTCACTCCCCCTGCCTGGGCGGGGCGCTGCGCGGCGCTCTGGCCGCCCGCCTTCGCCGTGACGATGCTGCCGAACGTGGTGCTGGTGGAGGAGGCGGGCAGCCTCGGCCGTGTAGCATGCCCGACGCCGCGGCCGACCTCGACGCCGCGATTCTGGAGGTGCCCAGGGTCCTCAACAAGGCGTCCGAGCTGGAGCCGCTCTGCCCCGCTGGCCCGCCCGCGTGGGATGCGGCGGAGGCCGCCGTGCCTGCCCTTGGGGCGCCGCCTCCGCCGACGCCAGGCCTTGACAGCCACGCGTGCTTCACAGAGGACCCTG